TCCCTCTATTGTGAAGAAGGCAAAGATGGTGAGGCTCTCTACTAACACTTTGATGAATTAACCCAAAATGTGATGGATTACACTGGGCACAAATTTGATGAGTTTGCTTTGATTTTGATTAGGAAATCGCATTTTAAATAAAACTTTGGAGAGAGAGAGAGAGACCCTGTTTTGTTTTATCAAAAAGTCTGTTGGTTTATATATTGTTTTATCAAATATGGAAAATTGGAGATTGTACTGGAACTCGTCTTATTGAAAGTGTATTGTATAATTTACTTATTGAACCCAACTTGACTTTGAATGGAGGCTGATAGTTTCCATGTCAGTTTACACAAAATATTGCTTAAGCAGTGTGAAAGTGCATACTTCGTTCAATACTTAAAGCTGTTCATCAAAGAAACTTATTGAAGTTTAATTATGAACTGATAGCAGCTTCTCTTCCATGCTAATGATGCATCGCAATCCTTCCTCCTTCACCATGTAATCAAAGGCTTTGTTGATCTCGGAGAAAGGAACTCGATGAGTTATGAACTTCTCTACCTTGTTCATGTACATGTCCACAACAGAGGGAAGGTCTGTCCTAGGTTTGTAGTTCCCAAAAAATGTTCCTTTAAGCGTCCTTTCATTCAGCACATTAATCGGCTTAGTCATGCATGTTCTAATTTGCACTTAGTCAATTGGGAAGATTAACCACAACAAATCGTAAACATCGGACCTTTAACAAGAATTTGATTTGCGTTCTTCTTCACTTTAAATCCAGATTTACTAGACCTTAAACTCTCCTTTCCTTCCTCAGGATGAGACTGGACAATCAATTCACAAAGAATCTAAAGGGAGATACTAAGACTGCATCCTTGTTCGGAACTCCAACAAGCACAGCCACACCCCATCCTTGTGATACCGATCAAAAACATATAATCTCATGACTGCAGATGCAGCTGAGGGTAGAATGTAGATAGACAAGTGTTAAAGATGAACTACCACACACAGGTCATCAATGATTGGTACATATCAATTCAACCTAGAGTTTCATGAATTCTGAATTGGAGCCACCAAAGTCTGAAGCCTAACCCAAAACACAATTATTCAAATTTTCATCACGGAACCCACACGACTAGGCCAAATTGTATCTCCAATATTAGCAATCAAAAAGTAGCTGCTATAATCCAGAAAACATAAATCATGAACACATTCAAAAGCCGATATCATGGCGTTAATATTGCACTCTATGCTCCTATCACACAAACGATTAATTATGGAATGTTTGGATACATAAATCATGACCATAATGCTTTGAGTACGACACCAAACCTGTTGAGATGCCACAACAAAGGATGCAAACTTTATCCAAAGATGCCAGGCGATTGATCTTGGTAAGACAGCCTGAATGAACAACAGTGTATTCACTGAAGGTGGATGTGCCAAGAAAGTGATTAATGGGAGTCCCTTTGATAGAAAACCTTGGTTTCCCATCACTAAATTGTCGAGTGTTCGAAAAATCGGCCTAGGCGGCGCTAGGCGGCTAGGCTGCTCTAGGCGGCCACCTAGGCGGCGAAAGCGACCCCCTAGGCGGCTAGGAGGCGAGAGCGACCACCTAGGCTGCAAGGCGGCGAGAGCGGCCACCTAGGCGGCCGGGCAGGAGTTAGGCGGCCTGGGCGGGTCAGGTCCTTTTAAATTTTTTTTTTTCCCTTGAATCTAACGCTGCCTCTCTCTCTCTCTCTCTCTCTCTCTCACTCACGACAGACCACCACCACCACGCCTCCACCCGCAACGACAACCACCAGGCCGCGATTAATACAAAATAATTCTAAATTAAAAAAAAAAGAGGCCCTAGGCGCCAGCCTACCGCCCAGCGATTTTCAACATTGATTGTGGATTTCAATTCAGTGCTTTGGAACTCCGGTGATTAGTGGTGAGTAGAATGAAATTGTAAATGATTGGCCTCAAAAAATAAAAAGCTATTGTAAAGATTTCAATCAGGCATGAAAGGTAAAGGCGCTTTTGTAGAAGCAGTGAAGCTGTAACTAGAATGGAAGCGTTTAGAAAAGCTTGAATCTTCTTACATTAAAGACTGATCACCCGTTAATCGGGTTGTTGAGAGAACTGGCTAATCATCCTACCATAATCCATGGGAACTTACCATTTGGTGGGTGAAACCTAGCTGACGTGCTGCCATGTGCAGCAAGTGTATTTTCTCAGGGTAATTTTTTTTATTTTAAATTTGTTTTTCTTATGCATGAAAAGTAGGCCAAGAAGTCTTTTCAAGTACGACCCCTTTCATGCAGGCTAATTTTGAGTCAGAATTTTGAATTGTTGGGATAATATTTTAATTTTTTGGTTGAGATTATGAGTTACATTATATGTGGACGACATTGGTTGTTTACATCCACTCACAGTGTTTCTACCTTTCTGCATCACATGAATTACTTTTGCTGCTGTCCTGCTCATACAAGAGGGCAACTAGTTACCCTTGAGTTTTATGTTTACATTTGTGTTGACTACTGGTTTGAATTGTGTAAAATAGTTGTACAAACAGTTTGGAAGGTTGGGAGAGATGGAATTGAGGCAGGAACCAATCTTGTGCCGGTAAGTTATGTTTAGTCTACCCTTTCAAACTTTTATCGATTGTGCAATTTCAAAGCAGGGTATTTTTCTTGCTTTTAGCACAAATTGAAGATTTTTGATACTTTGCGTTTTGCATTTGGGTGCTAGGATTCTGTGCCAAGATCAATTGCAAGGGTTTCTGTGACAGTAGTTGCATTGGCTCTTTCACTCTTTGTACTCAAGTCTTTACTGTCTACAGTTTTCTTTGTGCTGGTATGTTTCTATTTCTCTCCTCCTGCAAGAACAGTGGATCGATGATGTTATTTTGACTTCGCTTTTTCCAAAATGTATATGAAGTATGCATGTGCTACCATTTGTGTGTTCGTGTTTTAAAATCAACTCCTTTTTCTGTGTTACTAGTTTCTATAAGGAAATGAGATACAATGTAGACGAGTAAATTTCCTCTTGTCAGTTAGAGAGCATTATTCTTGCATAGATAGTCCTTATTTTTGAAGTACATAAATATTATGTAATTGTAATGAACTAAGCATTGTATGATAACAGGCTACGATGGGACTTGTATACTTTACATTTATAGCTTTGAATAAGGATGAAGGACCAAAGGGGGGTGGAGGCACCACTCTACACCAAAGGAGGAGGGGATGGAGGACAGTCTAGAAGAAGCCAGAAGAATCATGGAGAAGTATAAGTAACATCCTCACTGGTAGGGCTCATTCACTCATTTTTATATCATTTGTGGTCACACACAGAGAAGGTGGAACAAAGGATTTTGATTAATAGAAGAAATATATCTGATGTCTTGATGCTTAGAATCTTCAAATGAATGTCAATTCAGTTTTCAGAAACTGGATCGTAAGTTACTTGTAATCTTGTAGTGTGCACGGAGAATTTACCCATTGCCTCATTTGTGGAAGAATATGATCTGCTTGCTTACTGTACATCCTTGGATTTAGCTTGCCTTGCTTCCACAGAAAATTGTAACGATGACAAATTAAAACAAAATGGAGCTTCAAACTTCGAAGCCCCCTCTCCACCCCTCCTTCATTTTCTCACATTTCCCCTCAAGAAACAAGCAATTAAAAAAAAAAGTTTTAAATCATAAGGAGTGAAGTTTTTTATTTATTTTATCACACCTTGTTGAATTTTTAAACTTAGTCAGCAAAGAAAAGTAATTAAAGTTTTTTATTTATTTCTATCTGATATTAATCCCACTCTTCCATGCTAATGATGCACCGCAAGCCTTCCCCCTTCAACATGTAGTCAAAGGCTTTGTTGATCTCTGAGAAAGGAACTTGATGAGTTATAAACTTCTCTACTTCAAGTTTCTGTCGGAAAGTGATCAAAAGGCATTCGTTAAAATCGCATACAGAAGATTTGAACACCTGAAAATGTATTTGAATATTTAGAAGAAAATTCGGTTACTTTGTTCATGTTCATGTACATGTCCACAACAGAGGGAAGGTTAGTCCGAGGTTTGTAGTTCCCGAAAGAGGTTCCCTTAAGGGTTCTTTCATCAAGGAAATTGAAGGGGATAGTCTTGAAGATTGCATCTGGGCTTGGCACTCCCACAAGCACGGCTACACCCCAACCCTGTCTCAATCCAAAACCCAGAAAAGAGTAATTCAAAACAGAACCAGCCCTGCCCTGTAACTTGAGCCTTAAGTTATTACCAAATATGAAAATGTAACTGCTGTAATCTGAAAAACATACATCATGAACACATTCGAAAGCGGAGATAATTGAATTAATGTTGCCGGAGCACTCTACGCTTCTGTCGACTCCACCATTCGTCATCTCAGCAATAATCTGTTGGTGACAAATGTGATTTACTAGTGGTTATAATTGCTATCTTTAAGGGGTTTTTCTATAAAGAACAATTTTTCACCTCTTGCACTGGCTTGATATGGTCCCTTGGGTTCATGAACTCATTTACTCCAAAGTTCGTGGCTTAAAACCATGGGAAATAAAAGTATCAAGCAAGAATTTGTTTCTTATGTTTTCCAAGTAAATGTTAAACCATGACAAACTAATGAAGATGTACAAAATTACAAGTACCTTCCTCAAACCTCTTGGGATTCAAGTCAACCCCAATAATCCTTGATGCCCCAGAAATTCTTGCACCTTCAGCAGCCTAAAGAAACATATAAATAATTATGAATACCACATGGGAAATAAATGGCAAACTACTACAATTCAGGACATGTCAACAAAATTTATCCAAACCTTACTGCCAGGCCAACCGCCCCAAGTCCAAAGACAGCAACTGAAGATCCCTTCTTTGGTTTTACCACATTCAGAGTAGCACCTAATCCTGAATTTTTATTTCCATTTTTTGGTGAGAAAACATTTACCATTACACATATCATGAAATGTGCACTAACATTATGCTCTGAGAGTGTAACACTAAACCTGTTGAGACACCACAACTGAGGATGCAGACTTTGTCTAAAGGTGTTGACGGATCGATCTTGGCAAGGCAGCCTTCATGGATGACTGTATATTCACTGAAGGTGGATGTGCCAAGAAAGTGATTAATAGGAGTCCCATTCTTGGAAAACCTTTGTTTCCCATCACCAATCATAACTCCTCTATCTGTATTGATTCTCAGCAGGTCACACATATTGCTTCCCTCATACTTGCAATGCATGCAATCCCCACACTCACCCGTGAAAACTGGAAGCACATGATCCCCGGGCTTGAGGTTTTTAACGCCGTCCCCAACACTCTCAACAACTCTGTTATGAAAATCAGCATTGACATTCATAATGTGAACTAAACCAGGTTATGGAAGCCAAGGGGGCGGGAAAGGAAGAAAGAAAAGGAACCAATACTGGGAAAAATAGTCCATTCTGAAGCCAGAGGAAGTAAGATTCACGTAAAAGCAACAACGTACTTAGCCGCTTCATGACCGAATATTCGGGGGAAGAGTGGTGTCTGGCCCTGAAGTTTCATAAAGAAACATATAACAAATAAGTAAAAGATTCAAACTTATCTTAATCAAAAAAAAAAAAAAGATTCAAACTTATGCTAAATGGGAAAGAAAAAAAATAAGACCCCAAAGAAATGGAAAGCATTCTGATAAAAATAGAACCGACCTTGGCTTCCCAAAAGTAGACATCAGTGTGATAAAGTGCGGTATATTTGATTTTGACCCTCACTTCATTAGCCCGGGGTGGAGCAAGGAAGGCAAAGATGGACTGGCCACGCCCACATGTGGCTAGGACGGGAGAGAAAATGAGGCTCTCTACTAACACTCCGAAATGTGATGGATTGCACTCGGCACAAATTTGATGAGTTTGTTTTGATTTTGATTAGGAAATTTTAAACTTTCTAGTAACATCTTCAAATTTTTAGCTAAGATATAACTTAAACTTTGGAGAGAGAGAGAGAGAGAGAGAGAGACCCTGTTTTGTTTTTTCAAAAAGTCTGTTGGTTTATATGTTTGCTTTATCAAATATGGAAAATTGGAGATTGTACTTGAACTCGTCTTATTCAAAATGCATTCTACAATTTACTTATTGAACCCAATTTGACTTTGAATGGAGGCTGATAGTTTCCATGTCAGGTTACACAAAATATTGCTTAAGCAGTGTGAAACTGCGTACTTCGTTGAATACTTAAAGCTGTTCATCAACGAAACTAATTGAAGTTTAATTATGAACTGATAGCAGCTACTCTTCCATGCTAATGATGCATCGCAATCCCTCCCCCTTCACCATGTAATCAAAGGCTTTGTTGATCTCGGAGAAAGGAACTCGATGAGTTATGAACTTCTCTACCTCCAGTTCCTGTTGGAAAGTGAAAAGGAAAAATGCTTTGTTCATTAGAATCCATGACAGACAAATTGAACGCATGATAAAGTAAACGAAAATCTTAGAAGAAAATGATGTTACCTTGTTCATGTACATGTCCACAACAGAGGGAAGGTCTGTCCTAGGTTTATAGTTCCCAAAAAATGTTCCTTTAAGCGTCCTTTCATTCAGCACATTAATCGGCTTAGTCATGAAGACTGCATCCTTGTTCGGAACTCCAACAAGCACAGCCACACCCCATCCCTGTGATACCAATCAAAACATATAAGCTCATGACTGCAGATGCAGCTGAGGGTAGAATGTAGATAGACAAGTGTTAAAGATGAACTAGCACACACAGGTCATCAATGATTGGTACAATCAATTCAACCTAGAGTTTCATGAATTCTGAATTGGAGCCACCAAAGTCTGAAGCCTAACCCAAAACACAATGATTCAAATTTTCATCATGGAACCAACACAACTAGGCCAAATTGTATCTCCAATATCAGCAATCAAAAAGTAGCTGCTGTAATCCAGAAAACATACATCATGAACACATTCAAAAGCCGATATCATGGCGTTAATATTGCCTGTGCACTCTAAGCTCCTATCAACTCCACCGTTTGTCATCTCAGCAATAACCTGTTGATTTCAAAGATCAATTTGAAGGTTGGATGTAACTTAACTATCTATGTGGATTGATGTAGCAACATCTGATACAAATAAAGAATTGATTTTCACCTCTTGCACTGGTTTGTCATGGTCCTTTGGATTCACAAACTCATTTACTCCAAATTTCTTGGCTAAACCAGGAAAAAGAAAAGGTTTTAAGCAAGAATTTGTTTCTACGTTTTTCCATGAAACTACCTGTTAAAACCATGGTAAATGACAATGGACAACATTGTAAATACCTTCCTCAAATCTCTTGGGATTTCGGTCGATCCCAATTATCCGTGATGCCCCAGATATTCTTGCACCTTCAGCAGCCTAGACAAAAATATATCAGTAAAAATACGGAAAAGGAAATAAATGCAACTATTGGAATTAAGGATTTGATGAACAAAATTTTCCCAAAACTTACAGCCAGGCCAACAGCCCCAAGTCCAAAGACAGCAACTGAAGATCCCTTCTTCGGTTTTGCTACATTCAGGGTGGCACCCAAGCCTGAGATTTATAAAGAAAAATCCGTATCACACAAACGATTAATTATGGGATGTTTGGATACATAAATCATGACCATAATGCTTTGAGAATGACACCAAACCTGTTGAGATGCCACAACTAAGGATGCAAACTTTATCCAAAGGTGCCAGGCGATTGATCTTGGCAAGACAGCCTGAATGAACAACAGTATATTCACTGAAGGTGGATGTGCCAAGAAAGTGATTAATGGGAGTCCCTTTGATAGAAAACCTTGGTTTCCCATCACTAAGCATGACCCCTCTGTCTGTATTAATTCTTAACAGGTTACACATATTGCTTTCCTCAGACTTGCAATGCGCACAGTCCCCGCATTCTCCCGTGAAAACTGGTAGCACATGATCACCAACCTGGAGGTGTTCAACTTCTTCCCCAACACTCTCAACAATTCTGTTTAAAAAATAAGCATTTGGATTCTTAATTTGGACTAAGTCAGACTTGCAAGCAAGGAAAAACAAAGAAACAAAGAGAATCAAGACTAGAAAGCAATTAAACACCTCTCAAACTGTTTTGGATCATAATATTCGGTTAAAAACATGAAGTCCCTAAGTTAGAGCATAAGGTAAACTTAACATTAAACAACATACCCAGATGCTTCATGGCCGAAGATTCGCGGGAACAGTGGCGTCTGACCCTGAAATACCAGAAGAGAAAGATGAAACAAATAAATAAATTTAAACTTATAAAGGAGGAAGATGATCAGCCACATGCCAGAGAAGGAAAGAAGAAAAGTGCATTTTGTTGTCAGAGTTCACATATGCTTTCGATTTTGTTGGCAAAGTTCACAGGGGCTAAGAAAAAATTATCCTGTAACTGTTCTAGAACGGCATCCCAATTCCATTTTCGATTTCATGACATTTCACCACGAAAAATGACTAAATTGCCTGTACCAGTCTATTCTTAATTTCAAACCACGAGCACCTCACTCCAACACTAAAATGAAATCATATGAAGTTTTCAAAACCTAGCAATTGTTTTCTAATTATAATAAAGTAAATGAAAATATTAATCCATAGAATCATATATACATGCTTGGTTGAATTACTGACCTTGGCTTCCCAGAAGTAGAGATCAGTGTGACAAAGTGAGGTATACTTTATCTTGACCCTAACTTCCATGGCCTGGGGTGGAGCAACCTCCACCATCTCTATCACCAATGGCTTCCCTGCTTCCCATGCAACCGCAGCTACAAAAGCAAAGGACAAAAAGCCTCCCATCTTTTAACAAAATCATAAATTGCTATGAAATTGAGAAACCCAAAGGAAGCAAAAACGATAGTAAGAAAAAGAACCAATTTTGCTACCTACCCAATTCAAGATGCGAACCAAAAAGATGATCAATAAACTGAAATGGCTTAAAAATTAAGAAACTTTTTTGTTGGTACCTTTGCAGTGGATCACAAGGCCAGCAGTAGACGACATTTTGTATAATACGGGGGTTAACGAAGCAAAAGTTTCCCAGTTTGGTTTAGAAACGAACACACTGTATACAAGGTAAAGTTCTCAGTCTGGTGTGGTTCTCTATATACTTGTAATCAGTACACAGGACAACTCATTTGTCCGTTTCTCTTAAGACAGAAAAACAGAAGAGTCCAATGGAAAAATCAAAGCTTATTACTTCTGTAGCCTTAGAAGATATTTTGAAAATGAAATACTCGTATTTTTGTGTATATGATAAGAATTGGATATGAAATTATGAATAGAATTTTACCAACTTTAAAAAGCTCGAGCCTTTCTCTTAGAAACCTTAAAATATTCCAAAATTTTAAGATCGTTCATATGAATTATCTGAAAACTAATAAAGCTCAACTGGATGATATGAGCTTCATGAAAATTGCAATCTAGCCAGAGAGTTGAGCTCAAATTTTCTCATTGACCAAAATCCCATGAACTCCACCATCTTCAAGCCCACAACTCCACCACCGTCCCACCCATCTTCACTCTTCCCACAAATCACAGCATGCAAAACCATCAGAGACTTGCATCTAGTCCACGCCCTCTTCATCAAAACCCGCCAAATCCACGACCCTCTTGCCGCCGCCGAAATCCTCCGGTTCTATGCGCTTTCAGCTCACCGCAATATCGAATGGGCTCGCTCTGTTTTCAACCATATGCAAACACCCAATTGTTTTTCTTGGAACACCATCATCAGAGCTCTTGCTGAGAGCTCTGTTGATGAGCACCCACTTGAGGCTCTGCTTTTGTTTTCTCAAATGGTTTCTTATGGTTTTGTGGGCCCCAATAGGTTCACCTTCCCTTCTGTGTTGAAAGCCTGTGCTAAAATGGGGAATCTTGGAGTGGGCAAGTGTGTTCATGGGATGGTTGTGAAGTTTGGAATGGATACCGATGAGTTTGTTGTTAGCAATCTTGTGAGGATGTATGTTATGTGTAAGGTTATGGAGGATGCACATTTATTGTTTTCTAGGAGTGTTGTTGTTTGTGGTCATTTGAATGAGAGGAAGCAAGAGGGTAATGTGGTTTTGTGGAATGTGATAATTGATGGGTATGTGAGAGTTGGGGATATTAGAGCTGCTAGGGCGCTGTTTGATAAAATGCCTCAGAGAAGTGTAGTGTCATGGAATGTGATGATATCTGGTTATGCGCAAAATGGGTTTTTTAAGGAGGCCATAGATTTGTTCCGTGATATGCAGATTGAGAATGTATATCCAAATTATGTGACTTTGGTTAGTGTCTTACCTGCAATATCACGGCTAGGTGCACTTGAACTAGGGAAATGGATACATTTGTATGCCGGTAAGAACAGAATCGAGATTGATGATGTGCTTGGTTCTGCATTGGTTGATATGTATTCTAAGTGTGGGAGCATTGAGAAGGCACTTCTAGTTTTTGAGAAACTGCCTAAAAAGAATGTGATTACTTGGAATGCCATAATTAGTGGACTTGCTATGCATGGTCGAGTGGAAGATGCTCTAGATTATTTTAAAAAGATGGAACCGACTGGTGTGGTGCCTAGTGATGTAACATATATTGGTATCTTGAGTGCTTGTAGCCATGCAGGTTTGGTGGAGCAGGGCAGATAATTCTTCAACCACATGGTTAATGTAATTAGCTTAGAACCTAGAATTGAGCATTATGGGTGTATGGTTGATCTGTTAGGTCGTGCTGGACTGTTAGAAGAAGGTGAAGAGCTTATACTAAACATGCCAATTCAGCCGGAAGATGTTACATGGAAGGCTTTGCTCGGAGCTTGCAAGAAGCAAGGGAACATCGACATGGGCAAACGCGTGGCAGAGGTTTTGATGGACTTGGCTCCTCATGACAGTGGATCATACGTTGCTCTCTCAAACATGATGCCTCTTCGGGAAATTGGGAGGCGGTTGCAAAGGTTAGATTGCAGATGAAGGATATGGACATTAGGAAAGACCCGGGAGGCAGTTCGATTGAGCTTGATGGAGTGATTCACGAGTTTGTGGTGGAAGACGAATCGCATCCTCGAGCAAGAGAAATCCATTCAATGTTAGAGGAAATCTCCAACTAGTTGAGCTTAGAACGCCATAGGCCTGACACCACTCAAGTGTTGCTCAACATGGATGAAGAAGAAAAACAAAGTGTTTTGCATTATCACAGTGAGAAGATTGCAACTGCCTTTGGCTTAATCAGTACAGCCACTCAAACCCCTCTTTGAATTGTTAAGAACTGCGCATATGTGAAGATTGTCACTCTTCTCTAGAGTTGATTTCAAAAATTTATGAACGCAAGATTATCGTCCGTGACCGCAAGCGCTTCCACCACTTCGAGCAGGGGTTCTGCTCTTGCATGGACTACTGGTAATTCGTCAACAAGAAATGCAATTTGCAGTTATTTTTTGCAATTGTCTGTCAAAGAACCCTACATATAATCATTTCAACTGTATTTAGATTCTTCTCCTAAGCTAACCCTTGTTTGTGTTACTTGATGAAATGTACAAATGTGTGATGTGTGACATGAAGTTTTCCTCAGAATGGTGCATGCGTACTCATTGCCATGGACAATTTCCTAGAGTTTATGAGTGAACCTTTAATTTCCACACTTTGTCCAGAGCAAGACACATTTCATTAGCCTAACATGAAAGTCAAAATCCCAAAATCTTCAGCCTAGTCGCATGCAAGCATAGACAAAAGGGGTTTTCAGAAAGCACAATCATTAAACAGAATGATTAAGCAATTCAATTTGGGGAAACAAAAAAAAGTGAGAGTTTATGGTGATAATCTGGATTTACTTATGAATAGTCAAGGAACTCAATCTGTTGTGAACATTTAAATTTAAATTGGAGGAATGATTTCTGTATCTTTGCTTCATTGCATCATTAGGGTGCAACCGAAAAGAAGCAATCAGTGTGTCTCCACCATGCTGAACAAGTGGTCGACTGGGAAAGATAACAAAATCTCCTTTGATACTTTAAGTTTCACTGGCTGCCCACCACTTAACATACAACTTCCAATAAACTTAATTATCTTAGAAGAATCTAATTAAGAAAGGGATGGATGATAAAAACCATGCCAGAAAATGAATGATTAATTTGGCATAAACTGGCGTGAGTTTGAACAGAAATGCCATGAAATTATTTCGTGAAATTAATTTCCACTTCTTACAAAAAATTTATAACTTAACTAGTTAAGATCATTTACCATCCACCCGAGTTTTTAGGTTTGATTCTTTTCTAATATCGCTTGCCTAATAAGAGAGAATATGATTTTCTGTCAAAGGAAACTCCCAAGCTAGTGCATTGGATTCTAGTATATTCTAAAATTCTGAACAATTCAAGGGAAAATCAATACTAAATTTCAGCATGACCCACAGGATGGATAGGTGGAACTCACTACATGTGAACAACACCTTTAACACTCCTCCTTTATCCATTTTCATGTTAACCTCTTCTGCTAAACCTTTGCAACTTTGCTTTGTGAAATCTGCCCCACAACCTGTCAACCACAAGCATGAGGACCCACTGGATGCGGCGGATCAAAGACCATCAAAGCCGACACTCACTCACCATCTACACCCTTCAGTCAACGAGTCAATTCTCAGTCAAAGATGATGGACACGTGTATGGCACTAGATTAAGGACCACGACAACTTGCATACACCTGCACTTAACACTTTGCCTTGAAAAGACAAGACTCGGTGGCTTCTTGCACATCCAAGCTTTCTTTCCCTCAAACAAAGCAACCTCCTGCAACCCTATGAACTTAAAAAAACCAACTAATTCCAAAGGTGGGCGTGCACCGTGCAGAACAGGATTAAATATCAAAAGCAAACCCAATAATTTATTGAATGAAGTGAGAAGTGTTTTGTTTGTCATCCTATGAGAATGAGAGTAAAGATCAGCTGTAATGGTCCTCACAGTATGATTATCTTCTGATAAAGTTTGAAACTTTTTGCATAAATCCGACGGTGGATAATCAACATGGTACGAATTCATATGACTGTGTAATCAAATCAAGGCCCTATAGATAATAGACTAGGAGATTGCTCATAGTCAACACTCTGTCAGCTTTTCCAAAAAAAGAGAGCTTCTTTGAACTGCCCACCACTACAATACCACCTTTCCTCTTTCACTCTCTCTCTCTGTGTCTCTGCTTCATTCATGGAGATTTTGAAACGTTTCTTTCTCGACATTTTCCTCTTCTACTTCGTTGTAGGGTTGAATATTAGCTCACCCACTGAGTCTGCTTCAACATCTTCTTCTTCTTCTTCTTCTTCTTCTCACTCTGCAGATGTTGAGCTTCTCTTGGGAAATATCAAAGCTTCACTGCAAGGTAACACTCAGAACTTACTCTTATCTTCATGGAATTCCTCTGTTCCTCTTTGCCAATGGAGAGGCCTCAAATGGGTCTTTTCCAATGGCTCCCCTTTGCTCTGCAATGACCTCTCTTCACCCCAATGGACAAATCTCTCTCTTTCCAGAGACCCATCTCTTCACCTTTTCTCTCTTCAGCTCCCATCTGCCAATCTCTCAGGTTCACTGCCCAGAGAGCTGGGTGAGTTCTCTATGCTCAAAAGTTTGTACCTTAACATCAATTTTCTGAGTGGAACTATCCCTCTGGAGCTTGGGTACAGCTCTTCCCTCTCTGACATTGATTTGGGCAACAATTTGTTGAATGGGGATTTAGCACCATCCATATGGAACTTGTGTGATAATCTGGTTTCACTTAGGCTTCATGCTAATTCACTATCTGGGTCTCTTCCTGAACCTGCATTGCCAAACTCTACCTGCAAAAATTTGCAGGTTCTTGATTTTGGTGAGAACAAGTTTTCAGGGAATTTCCCTGAATTTGTTACCCAATTTGGTGGGCTTAAGGAACTTGATCTTGGGAATAACATGTTTTCGGGTCCAATTCCTGCGAGTTTAGCTCAGTTGAACCTCGAAAAATTGAACCTTTCACACAATAATTTTAGTGGAGTGTTGCCAGTTTTTGGTGGATCAAAGTTTGGTGTGGAGGATTTTGAGGGAAACAGCCCTGGACTTTGTGGGTTACCTTTGAAAAGTTGCAGTGGAAGCTCTGGGTTGAGCCCTGGAGCAATTGCTGGTATTGTTATTGGGTTGATGGCTGCAACTGTGGTTTTTGTTTCATTGTTAATTGGGTATGTGCAAAACAAGAAGAAGAACAGCAGGGCAGAGAGTGAAGATGAGTTAGAGGAAGAAGAAGATGAGGAAAGTGGTGGCGGTGGTGGTGGAGCTGGTGATCAGGGAAGGCTTATCTTGTTTCAGGGCGGCGAGCATTTGACATTAGATGATGTGTTGAATGCCACAGGACAAGTTTTGGAGAAGACCAGCTATGGGACTGTTTATAAGGCAAAACTTTCAGATGGAGGGACCATTACTTTGAGGTTGTTGAGGGAAGGTAGTTGCAAGGATGGGAGTTCTTGCGTACCTGTGGTAAAGCAATTGGGAAGGATTCGCCACGAGAATTTGATTCCACTGAGAGCTTTCTATCAGGGGAAGAGAGGGGAGAAGCTTCTGATATATGACCATCTTCCTCACAGAACCCTTCATGATCTTTTACATGGTATGCATATTTTTCGTGCTTTTCTCTCTACTTTGTTGCTATGCAATTATCCTGTGAGATTGAATAGTTTATGGTCATTGCCATATTTTACAAAGAAATGAGCTTTAAAGTACTTGAGTCTTTTTTGTTTTGTAACTGATAGATCTCTAAATACTTCCAATTGTATGTCTTTGGCCTCTTGTGATTGTTAAAACATTTAAAAATCATAAATTGTCTCATATTTGGTTAGTTTGGAGAAATAGATATTTGTAGCATGATTACACACGAAAAAACAAGTGTTTACATGGTTCACTGCCCTTGTCATACCTGAAAGGATTTCCACAACCACCATAGGATTACTTATACAATTTCCATGGATATGAAATAGTGGAAACTTAATTACAGGAACCCTCACTTTACTGTTCTGTAAGAGTCAGTTCCAAAGTTCATAGAAGCCCACTTACTTTAGAAGAATTAGCAGTAACATATTATTTTTAGGCCCACTCAACTTAAGCAACTTCAAAATCTCTTTGGACCTGATCTTGCACAATCA